CGCCGGCAAAGTGTTTGATTCGCACGTTTATGCTATGGTAGGAAATTGCCGAACGCATCCTCTTCGTTATTTGGGGCCGCACCTCCCATCCTACTTTCCATGTATCGTTCGAGATTATTACCCTAAAACCCTTTCGATCCTGTCCCCAAGCGTCCCGATCCACTTTCTGCCTTCTCTCACGATCCCATCTCGGCCGCCGCCCCCGCCGTCCAAAGCGGATCAAAGCTTCTCACAGTCACCGTCCATCCCGGTCCTGTCCCAATCCCCTTCCCGCCCTTCTCGTTCGAAGCTCTCCCACAATCGAACCGCAGGGAGAAGAGGAACGAAGAGGATCGAAGCTCTCCTTCAGCCCTTCTCTTTTCAACATCTTTTCTGTCCACTGTAAGAATTTTTGGCCTCCTATATTCGCATTTTTTAGCGCTTTTCATTTCTTCTTTCCTCCATATGGTGAGGAATAACTTTGCATGTTGAGAATGTACAATGGTTAGGGTTTAGGCTGCCTAAGCTAATAAATTTGCTGAGAGATAGTTTTTTTTGGAAATCTTTGAACTGGTAAGAAAGCGTTAGCAATTTTTACAGCATTTCTTTCCAGACATCCCATCCTTTCCTCTAGCTGATGTTTGATGTGCTTGTTTCATTTCTAGTTAGCTTATCTCTTTTGGAGCCGAACTTTATAAGCACTTCTCTATTTTACAGCAATTGCTTTCCTAGATTGTTAGATTCTAAATACAAGGAATTGGAATTATTGGGGAATTGCTGCCATTGGATTTAATTAAAATTTGTTATTCTAGTAAAATCATATAGATTTTGTGTAGTTTATGTGTTTGGTTTCTTTGAAGCCTATAAATTGGACGCATAGGCATGAAAAATTGGGTGAATATTGAAATCATATTTTATTTTTGGGGCATTTACATGCATAACACCTACTTCATATGTATTTAAATATCTAACGTCTAAATTTTGCTTTTTTATATTTATATGCATATAACATTAAAAAATACTACCATTTCAACTTTTATGGTGTTGGGTGCTAGGGGTGGTGTTTGAGGGATGTTTGTGGTGTTGTGTGTTAGGGAAATGAGATGGATACTTATCTCATACAGCTCTGTTGCAAACAGTTTAACAACTCCAGAAACAGAATGGTCATTTATCCAACTACAGCTCCCAGTAAGCTGTTCTGAATAATCTGCCTCAAACAACAAGCCGGCTTATTCTGATAATCTGCAGATTATCATATTATCATAAGCCGGTTTATTCTGATAATCTGCGGATTATCATATTATTAAAATAAGCTGCTTATCAGCAGGTTATAAACAATCAACAGTTGCCCCAAACAGACCCTAAGTAATTGACCTTGAGCAAAGTACCGCTAGTAAGAAGAACGGAATACAGTGACACGTGTTGCTTTTGTTCTAGCTTGTCTCCTCACAGATTCCCTTGAATGAATTTGGGAGCAGCACAAAGGGATACAAAATCCTATCTCATAATTTGAAGAGCATAAATCTTGCTGACCTCATTATTTCAAAAAACCAAGATACCAACATTGCATGAAATGGAATTGCAATGAACCGCTATTGAACAATGAAGTCCTGACACCATGCAAGCAAAATTACTAAAAGCAATGGAGACAATAGCCTTTTCTGAAAAAGATCATTGGCGATAGAGAAACTAAAAATAATGATAAATAATTTTTTTAATTCCTTTGTTGAATCAGTAAGGCGCAAAAATTCATAGCTTCACTATCCTTTTATAATAGAGTAAAAAACTATCCTTCTATATTGAGAAAGGTTTTATGTATAATAATAAATGAAATAGATGTGTGAAAATGCCTGTGATAAATTCATTGGAATATAATATCAATGAGAATTATTTTAGAGTCTAAACATAATAAATTTTGATTTAATCCAGGATCTTGTTTTTTATGTTCGTTTATTTGGCTTTACCTCAATCCTTTACTAAACCATTTACTTAACTTAAAAATTAACTTTATGCAAACATTTTTGTACCCTTACCTCTGACATCTACATTAATGGTCCATGTGATTTTCTTCAATCGAATTTGTTTTACAATAAAATCAACTACATATATGAATCCCATCACTAAGTGCTAAGTTGATTGTGATAGAATGCGAAGGTTAAAAGATGTGTGTATGTGTGTGTGTGAGAGAGAGAGAGAGAGTATGCGAAGGTTAAAAGATGTGTATGTGAGAGAGAGAGAGAGAGAGAGAGAGAGAGACAGAGAGAGAGATAAAATAAGGAATTGTTCATGTTATATCCATTATAATAAGGACATTCTATTTGATGAAACGAAATGAAAATTTTCTTCATTCTAATTTGGTCTCTGACAGTGAACTAATCTAGTTGTTGAGCTAACGACAGATATAACTATACTAATCCAATCATCCAGTAAAATGTAAAAAAAAATTGTTTCCGTAGTTATGTAATTCTTCTCTTGTTTGAAATGTCACAAAGCAAGTCAGTACAAAAATATACAGGTTAAGCTTTGGGCATGAGTTGTGAAAAATGCTGACACATACGGGAAAATCACCAATCAAATAGGCCATTTAAAAGTGGTTAAAATACTACCTGATCAGCCTCAACGAGCTTAGACCATTCTTTTCTTGAGATAAGCTGATGAGTCATTTCATATGACAAATCTATGCGGTAGTTTAGGTCTCCTAGCCAAAAAATCCTTCTAAGAAAAGAGTAAAAATAGTGTAAGATAAACTTCAAGAAAGCATAAGAGAAAAATAAAACAAAACGTTTGCTCATCAAGTTTAAAGTCAAAAATGCCCAAGGATGTACGGTTACAGTAATTCAATTAACTTACTCATGATCAGAAATAGTTTTAGGTAAACCAATAATAGAAGTTGGTCGAAATAGTGTCCTTCGGTGAATTTCTTGAACATCGGCATTTCTTCGAAGCTTATCAGCTTCCTTTTCTCCAGAAGAAAGATGACAGCATACAAAGCAAAAGAGTGTTTCATATATGGACATGCTGACTGATATTGATCCCTAAACATGTTTGCAAATTGTCAACTAAATGCAAAAATGTTGAAGGTTACTAGCTCAAATTTCAACAAAAGTATTTTAGCGAAGCATAAAATTTTAAATTGCTTCCTATAGAGCATGAAACAAGCTTTTTATGTCACGCTTATTCATTAAAAATATTAGCTGAAATTTTTAGCATGTTTGACTATTACTATCCATTAAATCAAGCAAAGCGGGCATGACAATGGCTAGAACTGTAAATTGAAAATTTTCCAGCGTTGCAATATTTTGATGGCTTGAAAACTGGAAAGGCGGGGAGGTTACTAAGGTTCATACAATGAATTTTACGGCAGGAAATAAAATATATGTTTGAATGTACCGAACGTCTAAAATGTGAGTTCAGAAAATCAACCTACTCTGAAAGTTGATCAAAATTAAAAAACAGGGTAAAACAAAATAAAGAGATGCTCTATACTTCCAGCTCCAGCTACCTGTTAAGAGATCATACATTGAGAAGCATCATGGCTTAATATAGCGTATGGGACTAAGCTTATCATTCCAATGGAGTCCAAGATTGTAGAAAATGATAGGCACAGTCCAATATTTTTTACAAATAATCCAATGTTCATATCAAATTAAAACACTAGATATGGTGTTCAATCAGACAAAAGCTTGGAAAGAAGAACAAATCACACAATTTCATTCTATAATGGTGTAACTTGTGCTCTTAAAAAAAAATCAAGACTAGAAAAGATATACCAGAAGCAACGTCATTGTTGTAAGTTCCATGAAGATGGAAGTGCACTGATACTTATAATCAAAATGAGTTAGTAGAATAATAAAGTAATGAACCAATCGCAAAAGTGAGATTAACCTACACACATATATGCTAAGACATTAAATGCGAACATTGCTTGTACGCTAATCATTAGATCCACATCAGTAAATGTTTTCCTCTACAAAAGTTGCTTTAAAGAAGAAACCATAAGATTAACCATAACATGATAATTTGATTATTTATTTGTGCTCAATTAGTCATGAAAAGATTTGATGCAAAATTCCCCCGTTATTTCTGACAGCGACTTTATATATGCTTAAAAATACAAGTATTTAATATTGTTGCTAGAATATTTAATTCATCAACAACTGCACCAAAAACTTGACAACGGTTGTAGATTCGATAAAGATGTATATATAAAATATTCAATAACGGTAAAGTCACACTTATCAACGCAAGTATATG